TAGGGTGCATGTACTCACTGGAGAGGGAAAGTGAGGAAGTACCCCCTAGGGAGATGGCTACTTTGCAATCCTTTCTCCTCCATTCTCTCCTCAGGATTTTGGAGACACACACCCACACACACTCATTATGTTCTTTAAAGCTGCCTGTTCTAGTACTTGAGTGGCCAACAGTGCAGTTTGCCATGTGGGATCCAACCTCCCTACTACTCTACCACCTGCTGGCCCAGATCATAACACTCCTTAAGCCAAACTGAGGCTCCTACTTCAAAACATACTAGAAAGTAAGGGTAATCAAGACAGTGTGGTATTGACAAGAGAATGTAGACACAGCTAAATGGAAAAGAAGGGGGTCCAGCCGATTGGGTTACACTCAGTTCTGCTCCTTACTAGCTATTAAGTTTTATACATGTTATTTTAGTTTTCCTATTCCATAAAATTACTCCTTCCTTGTAGGATTGGTATGAAGATTAAATAAAATAGTTCACTTAAAGTACTTAGTACATTGCCTGAGATATGGTAAAAGCTTGGTAAATTTTAGCTACTATGTATTTTAAATTTTATTTTACTTATTATTGTTTAAGTTTTGCTATAGGGCACATGTACTTACCGGAGAGACACAGAGAGAGAAGGAGAATGAGAAAGCAAGTGACCAAGTCCAGGACTCAAACTGGCCAATCCATGTGTGAGTCAGTGCCTTCACCACCACACCACCTTCCAGCCCCAGCTATTGTGTATTTTCTTACTTGATCTTGTCAGGCTTCAAAAGAAAGAGTCAGATAGCTATTATTCCCAGTTTATAGGTGAAACATTTAAGATATTACATCATTGGCAAAGGCCACATGATTGGATAAATGGCAGAGGCAGAACTGTGGAGTAGTCTGGAATTTCTGTAGTATTACTATCTCAGGCCAGGCTAGTAGGAAAGATTGTGCCCTTGGAAGAGCTGTTTTTTTTTTCATTTGTTTGTTTTGTTTTTTGTTTGTTTTTTGTTTTATAATATACAAAAAAATAGCAAAATTTAAAAAATGAGTAGGTAGGGACCAGCAGTTGGCATAATGGCTATGTTGCTGGAATCCCATGTAGTTGACCACGGTTCGAGTCCCAGACCTGGTGGTTTAAACTCATGCTGGGTGCATATGAGCCCAAGATCCTGAAAGGAGAATAGAAGAGAAGGGATTGTGGCCTGGCCATCCCCACTGGGGGGTGATTTCTCACTTTCCGTGTCTCTGTCTTTCTGGCGAGCACACACGCCCTATGGCAGAAACCTCTCCAAAAAAATTTTAAAAAATGAGTAGGCAGCACGTCAATATAATTTTATACACATTAATTTTTGTTAACACAGTTTTTTTTTTAGAACTACTTATTTAAATAATTTCACGTGTTGTTATTATTTTTTAATTTGATAGAATGAGAGAGAAAGGGAAAGTGAGAAAGCAAGCTGCCAAGTCCGAGATTCGAACCACGGTCAGCCATATTGGAGTCCAGCACCTTAACCACCACACTACTTGCTGGACCCAAGAATTACTGGGGTGTGGGTTTCCTGATACAAATGAATCCTTTGGATATATTGTATTTAGTTTGGGAACCTTTTGTTAGGATTTTTGCATGTGTATTCATAAGTAAGATTGATTTATGATTTTTCTTTTTTTTTTCCTCTTTTTTTTTTTTTTTGAGAGGTTTTCGCTACAGGGCACGTGTGCTCGCTAGACAGACAGAGAGAGACATAGAGACAGAAAGCGAGAAATCACCCCCCAGGGGGGATGGTCACGCCGCAATCCCTTCTCCTCCATTCTCCTCTCGGGATCTTGGGCACGCACGCACACGCCTGGCGTGAGTTTTAAGCCACCGGGTCTGGGACGCGAATCGCAGTCGACTATGTGGGAGTCCAGCAACATAGCCGTTATGCTAACTGCTGGTTCCCATGATTTTTCGTTTTTTAAAAGTTTTTGTTGGTTTTAATATCAGGGTTTTTTGGCATCATAAATCAAATTGAGGTATGTTTATTTTTTTTCCTATTCTCTGGAAGAGTTAGTATAAAATTGGTGTTATTTTTGTTTAATGTTTGGTTATAATTCTCTAGTGAGCCATTGGGATCTGGATCTTTTTGTATGTTTGTGGAAATATTTTAAATTGTGGATTTAAGTTTTTTAAGTAGGACTTTTCAGATTTTGTTAAATGTAATTTTTATTTTATTTAGAAAATATTAAACTTTTTTTTTTTTTTGGAGAGGTTTTTCTATAGGGCGCATGCGCTCTCCAGACAGACAGACAGAGACAGAGAGACAGGAAGTGAGAAGTCACCCCCCAGGGGGGATGGCCATGCCACAATCCCTTCTCCTCCATTCTCCTCTCAGGATCTTGGGCACACATGCACACGTGCCCAGCATGAGTTTAAGCCACCGGGTCCAGGATGCGAACCGTGGTCGACTACGTGGGAGTCCAGCAACATAGCCCTTACTCTAACTGCTGGTCCCGAAAATATTGAACTTTTTTAAAAAATTATTTTATATAACTTTTTTTTTTTTTTTTTTAGAGGTTTTTGCTATAGGGCGCATGCGCTCGCCAGAAAGACAGAGACAGACAGACAGCGAAAAATCACCCCCCAGGGGGGATGGCCATGCTACATTCCTTTCTCCACTCTCCTCCCGGGATCTTGGGCGTGCATGTACACGCACCCGGTGTGAGTAAACCACCAGGTCCAAGACTCGAAATGCGGTTCACCACATGGGAGTCCAGCGACTCAGCCTTTACGCCAACTGCTGGTCCCTTTTTTTTTTTTCAAGTTTGCAATAGGTTGTGTGCATAAAAGAAGGAAAATGACAAAGCAAACCCCCTGTAAGGATGGCCACACAGCAATCCCTTCTCCTCCACTTTCCTTTTGGGATTTTAGGCACGCACACACACATGCCCTGTGTTTTCCAAGCTATCACCCGAGCAATCAAAGTTGTTTTGTTTTGTTTTGTTTTTCTTAGGCAGGGTCTTGCTGTGCTGTGGTCTTCCTGCCTCAGCCTCTTGAGTAACTGTACTACAGTCAAATCACAGCTCCTGGATTTTAGGGTGGGTTAGGAATGACACGCCAGTCTCCTATGTGGCCATAGTTGGCCAAGTAGCAGTGTCTGCCAGTGCACATACTCCTAAACCAAGATTTTTTTTTTAATCGTTGGTAAAATATCAGGTTGTTGGGAGGTCATGACTTATTTTTCTATGCAAAAAAGTATCATGACTTTCCTGACAACCCATTATACATACCATTACATTTGCCATCTTAATCATTTTGAGCTTATACTTCAATCGTGTACTTTTCACATCGTCGTACAACCAGTCTCCAGAAGTCTTTTTCTTGCAAAACTGAAGTTGTACGCGTTAATTCACTCCCCAGTTGCTCCCATCCCAACCCCTGGCTCATGCTTCTACTTTGTCTCTTTTGAAATTGACTGCTCTCGGTACCTTAGATACGTGGAACTATACAGTGTTTATCTTTCTGTGACTGGGCTATTCCTCTTAGCATAATATCCACAAGGTTTATCCATGTTATAGCTTTTATCAGGATTTCCTTTTTAAGGCTGAATTATAGTCCATTGTATGTGTATACCACGTTTTTTAGTAGTAAATTCATCTACTGGTAGACACTTGGCCTCTTCTACCTTTTTTGCCTGTTCTGAATAATGCTTCTATGAACGTGAATATAAAATTGTTCAATTTTTTTCTGCTTTCAGTTCTTCAGATCCAATTTCTGGATCATAGAGTAATTTTTATTTATTTATTTAATTTTTGGAGAGGTTTTTGCTATAGGGCACGTGCGCTTGCCAGAAAGACAGAGACAGACAGAAAGCAAGAAATCTCCCCCCAGGTGGGATGGCCATGTTGCAATCCCTTCTCCTCCATTCTCCTCTTGGGATCTTGGGCACGCACATGCATGCACCCTGCGTGAGTTTAAGCCACTGGGTCCGGGACTTGAACTGTGGTCGACTATGTGGGAGTCCAGCGACATAGCCATTATTCTATCTGCTGCCCCAAATTTTGTTTTAAATTTTGAGGAGCCACTATACTATTTTCTGAAGTAGCTATCTTATTTTGCATTCTCAACAACAGAAGACTTTTCTAGAGGATAAGCCCAGAGGATTTTATATACTTTTTGTATGTTAGTAAGTTGTACTTCTCTAGGAATTTTTCTGTTTCATCAAATTTGTTCAATTTAAAAATTATAATAAAAAATAAACTATAAAAAAAAAGAGGATAGAGAAAGATAGCAAGTGAACAATAGAGAGGCAGGATGTTAGTGAGAAACAGATATGGTTTATTATCTGTTGATGATGACGTGTATAGTATTCTCAACTGAACTGGTCTGGGAAGTATTTCATGATGGGTGAAGTCTTTTAACAAGCAAAATGAGAAATAGTGATTGACTTTTAAAAAATTATAATAATAATAATAATTATTGGGAAAAAATTTGTTCAATTTATTGGCATATTGTTTGTAGTGTCATCAATGATGTCATTTTGTTCACTTTTATTGGTTATTTAAGCTCTTTTCTCCTTAAAAAAAAAATCAGTGTTGCCTGCAGCTTATAAATTGTATCTTTTCAAATAATGAATTTTGTGTTTTATTTCCCCTTTTGTATATTGTCATTTATTCTGTTAATTTTTGTTCTTTGTTTTTTTTTTTTCTTTCTGTTTTCTCTAGTTTTTTTTTTTGTTGTTGTTGTTGTTGTTGGTCTCACATTCTTAGCATGTGACTGTGCTTGCTCATACTCACCTGGGTTTGTGATTGTTCTCTCTTCTCTCTGCTCCTTCCAGAACATTTTCCAGAGGTATACAGTTTTCCTTTTTATTGTTTTGAGAGAGAGGAAACTGGAGTAAAGAAAGTTGAAGTGTTAGGAATGATGTCATCTTTCATCAGTAAGATTCAGCATACTTACAATTCTTACATACTCTAACTGGCAAGATTATCAAATGCAGTTTGTAACAGTGTGACTCTTCTTTTCCCCCTCCTTCTTGGCAGGACCCGTTGGGGCCCAGCCCCTACTCATGGTGCCCAGAAGACCTGGCTATGGCACCATGGGCAAACCCATTAAACTGCTGGCTAACTGTTTTCAAGTTGAAATCCCAAAGATTGATGTCTACCTCTATGAGGTAGATATTAAACCAGACAAGTGTCCTAGGAGAGTTAACAGGTAAGAATCATAAATCTGCTGAGATCTCTTGCTATAGTAATTATTTATATTTATCTTGTATGTCCAAATAACAATGATAATATGTAACAGTTTGACCAAGAACACACAGTAGTTTGTTTTGACATTGGTTCTACTTCAGAGGTGTGATGGTGGGGAAAATCTGCAAACAGCCTTGAAATGACTCCATTATAACATTAGCTCACGTGTTTTTCCTGTAATAGAATAGGTTCAAGTAGTTTTTTTTATGCTCTTGAAATCAGGCTAAGCGTCCTGAGCGTTATCTTTTTCCTTATCGTTAGGTAATGTCTCATTTATCGCCCCACCCCACCCCACCTTGCCTACCCTTTCACAATGTTCCACCTACCATGGTGGTGACATTGGTAGCAGTGGTGGGTAGAGATGGTGCTTGTCATGGTTTCATGCTTTCTGTTCTCCATCTTCAACTTCTGACTATTCTGTACTCTTATATAGGAATAGTATATGTGATATGTAAAAAATTTACTTTTTTTTTTTTTGCCATAGGGTGTGTATGCTCTTCTAAGAGAGACAGAGACAGAGAGGGAAAATGAGGAAGCACCTCAGGGAGGATGGCTGCATCGCAGTCCCTTCTTCATTCTTCTCTTAGGATTTTGGGCATGTATGTACACCTGTCAGTGCAATCTTCAAGCAACCGGGCTTGACACTGGAATCATGGTCGGCCACCTGGGAGTACAGCTTGTCCTGCCCAAAAGAATCACCTCTACCCTTAGCAGTGTATAGTTGAGAATCATTGTTAAGTTATTGAATAGGAGAATTAGATGATAAAAATGTTAGGAAAACAGAAATTGCTTGAAGACGAATAGATTTTTTTTTTTTGGAGAGACCAGAGAGACGGAAAGCGAAAAATCACCCCCCAGGGGGATGGTCACGCTGCAATCCCTTCTCCTCCATTCACCTCTCGGGATCTTGGGCTCGCACGCACACGCGCCCAGCATGAGTTTTAAGCCACCAGGTCTGGGACGTGAACCGCAGTCAACTACGTGGGAGTCCAGCGACATAGCCATTACGCTAACTGCTGGTTCCCGAAGATGAATAGATTTTGATTCAGGGAATGTTGAGGGATTCAAGAGTTACACTTTGAGTCCTGTACCTGGTAGTTTGCTTCCTTACTTTCCCTCTATTTTTCTGTCTCTCTCTGGTCAGATTTAAATTATAATAATAAGAAGAAATTTTTAAAAAATTGTAAGAGATTTTTGCTATAGGGCACATGTGCTCACCAGAGAGACAGAAAGCTAGAAATCACCCCCTGGGGGGATGGCCACACCGCAGTCTCTTCTCCATTCTCCTCTTGGGATTTTGGGCGTGCAAACACACACACCTGGCATGAGTTTTAAGTTGCCAGGTCCAAGACTCGAACCATGGTCAACTGCCTGGGAGTCTAGTAGCATAACCATTACACCATCTGCTGGTTACATAAAATTAAATTTTAAGAAAATAATTATTTTAATTTTATTTATTATTATTTAATTTGCTATAGGGCACGTGCTCACCAGAGAGGGGGGGAAAGTGAGAAAGCAAGCCTGTATGTCCGAGACTTGAAAACTACGGTTGGTTATGTGAGAGTCTAGCCCCTGAACCTCCACACCACCTCTTGGCCCCAAGGTTTAGACTGAATCTTGTCAATTGAGGTTTTCCTCCTAGTATTCTACACGAGTTATGAGTGAACCAGTGCAGCGATGGTAATGTTATGTAAAAAGAAAAGATCTTTTTTTACTAGAATTTTTTCTTCCTACTTAACATATTTATTTTATTTTTTTGGTGGGAGAAGGGTGTGTAATGGAGAATTCATGTATTACATATGTGTATATATGAGGTTGTATGGCATAGTTTCACATGTTGATGTGCAATATATTGATAAAATAAATGTAATAAATTATGGTACATTTTGGGCTTAACTTATGATCCTTTTGACATTCCTAATTACATTTTGTCTGTAGGTTGCTTTCTTGTTATATAATTTGTCAATATGAGTAACTAAGATATGTAATTTAAATATTTCCAAATAGAAAATATTGTGTACCTTTTATTTGAGTTCTGATAGAGACTACTGGACTTTTGGATACTCCAAAAATGGCATAAATTAGCTTTATACTTAGTTAATAACTGCCTTCAGTGAGTGAATGTCAACATTTACGAAGCATATTCTCTTTATTAACTTCAGCAGACTTGCTTTTTTTTTTTTTCCCCTGTAGGGCACATGTACTCACCAGGGAGACAAAGAGAGACAGAGATATAGAAAGCAAGAAACTATCCCCCAAGGGGGATGGCCACAGCACAATCCCTTCTCTGCCTCTCTCCTCTCAAGATTTTGGTACACGTGCACATGCATCTGGCGTGAGTTTCAAGCTGCTGGGTCCAGGATTCCAACCACAGTTGACCACGTGGGAGTCTAGTGCTTTAACCAATATGCCAACTACTGGCCCAGCAGACTTGCTTTTGCTTCAGTTTTTGCGATATTACTGCTTGACTAGGTGGTTAAACTGTTGGTGGCTTTCTGAAATTGGTTCACTTTCTATACTTCAACAGCTGGAATTCTTTATTTTTTTGAGAGGATTTTGCTATAGGGCACGTGCACTTGCCTGAAAGACAGAGACAGAGAGACAGAAAACGAGAAATCACCCCCCGATCCCCCAAGGGGGATGGCCACAGCACAATCCCTTCTCTGCCTCTCTCCTCTCAAGATTTTGGTACACTCTGTCTCTCTTTGTCTCCCTGCATGCACACATGCCTGGTGTGAGTTTAAGCCACCGGGTCCAGGACTTGAACCTCAGTCGACTACATGGGAGTCCAGCAACATAGCCATTACGCCATCTGCTGTCCCCATTGTAAAGATTTTTAGTTTTTATCTAAGTTCACAGTGATTCTCCTAGGTGACTTCAGTTTTTTAATAGTTAAATCAACATGTCTGAAGTTTCTCTTACTCATGTGCCATATGAACAACTGTTTGGCACTAAGATGCTAATCATCATAGTAGAAGGATGTATTGTAGCCAAACACGTTTCCACTTAGTCAGAAGAGTTTTCTTGGGGAAAATATCCAGGAAATGCGTGTGAATCATTTTGTGAGTCAACTTCTCTACACAATTATTCTTCAGATTTTTCTGTCTGTTGCTGTTTCTGCCCCTTTCTCACCTACTCTTTGTGGAAAGGGGTTCTTTTCTCTATTAAATTATTTTCGTTAAAATGATCATTTGGAGGGCCAGCAGATGACATGGTGGTTAAGGCACTGAACTCTCACATGGCTAACCACAGTTTGAGTACTGGACTGGCCCTGCACACACTCACTCTCTTCCTTTCTCTGGTGAAATTTAAGAAAAGTAATAAATACAATTAAATTAATAATTTTTTTAAATGAAAGAAATTATCTTTATGTAAAGGAGCATGTTCATTAAGCAGATTTCAAATGTTACTAGTTGTTGTGTTTTTTTGTTTTGTTTTGTTTTGAGAGATTTTTGTCACTAGGGTGCTGTGCTTACCAGAGAGATAGAGATACAGACAGAGAGTGAGAAATCACTCCCCAATAGGGGATGGCCACACATCAGTCTCTCCTTCTTCATTTTCCTCTTGGGATTTGGGGCATGCACGCATGCACCCAAGCAGAGTTCCAAGCTGCCAGGTCCAGGACTTGAATCACAGTTGTCTACATGGGAGTTCAGTGAAATAACAATTGTATCATCTGCTAGTCCCACTAGTTTTTATTATTATTATTATTTTAACAAGTAAGTGGCCTCAATAACTAAAAACCAAATATTTTAAGAAATAGTATTAACTAGAAAATAGATTTTATAATTTCAAGCTGCCCCATAGTCCAGCAGTTGGGTGCTGTAGAGAGAGCTTGATACTACATGGCCAATGGTGGTTTGGCCTTTGCATTGTGAAAAACACCCAGGTACTACATGCCCAGGATCCTGACAAGCGGAAAAATGGAGGAGGGAAAAAAAGGATTGTAGTGTTATCAGTTCATTGGGGCGTATTTTCTGTCTTTTTCTCTCTTTCTCTTATGCACATGAGCTCTCTGACTTAAAAAAAAATTCTATAACAAGTTTTTTTTGTTTAGAGATATTTATTTACTTATTTATTTCCTTAGACATTTATGTGTTTATGTATTTATTTGTTGCGATTTTTCAAGCCACCGGGTTTGGAAGTTGAACTGCAGTCAGCCATGTGGGAATCTAGCACCTTAACCATCTGGCCACCTTCTGACTCCGATATAACCAGTGTGCTTTTGTTTGTTTGTTTTACAGTTTGTTTATGTACCTGCTATATATATGAGGTGTACCTTGATTAGATTATTATGTATTCAAGATTATATATATATTTTTAGAGGTTTTTGCCTTAGGGTACATATCTTTATGGAGAGAGAAAGGGGCAGAGACAGTGAGAAGGAAAGTGAGAAATTAGTGCCCCCTCACCCCCATGGCCATGCCTTAGTCCTATCTCCTTTATTCTCTTCCTGGGATCTTAGACATGCGCATACATGCGCTGGCATGATTTTCAAGCCACCGGACTTGGGACTTGAACCTTGGTCAGCCACATGGGAATCCAGTGATGTAACTGCTATGCTGTCTTCTGGTACCTATTAAAATTATGAAACGGCAGGATAGATACATGTGAAATATGCTTATAACTGCAAGATTGATCTATTTATCTAGCTATCTATTTTTTTTTAAAAGAATTATTTTATTCGTTGCTGTTATTTTATTTTTTGGAAGTTGACCAGAGAGAGAGAGAGGAGAGTGAGAAAGCAAGCTGCCAGGTCCGGGACTCGAACCTCAGTCAGCCATGTGGGAGTCCAGCCATCACAACCACCTCGTCACCTGCCAGTCCCGCTAGCTATCTATTTTTAATTGCCAGTGGCAATGTGTACTCTCCCGAGAAAGGGAAGAAAGCACCCTGCTATAGAGTGTGGTTACATTGCAGTCCCTGCTCTATTTCTCCTTCCTTTGAGAGTTGGGGCGTATG